GGGGTTGCGATGGACTTAACTGAAAGGGGACAAATGAAATTCTCTTTACAACCTCGAGCTGGCACAAAGTTGTTTGGTCCAATCTGGTGAACCAGTGCAGAAGAACGTTTGGCGTGTTCACGTAGAATGCTGGTGATCAGTGACTGCAGGTTCTTGCCTCGAACGATGTAGGCCATCACACGTAAAGAAGAGTAAGAGAACATTGTATTTACATATTTATTTATAATATGTACATCAACATACATGATGGAACTTTGCAGTAAGACGGCAACAAAGAGAAGAAGAAGCCAACGTTTTTCTGGTGCTCTTTTTATTCTTTTATTTTTATGAAACACAATCAGATGACAGCCGTTGTCACTTCCTGTTAAAACTCAACGAGCAGGTGTGCAAACGATGATTAACAAACACACGGTGAGCAAAACCAAAGAGACAAATCCAAAAGCAAATCACATTCCTAAACAAACGACTCGGCAGAACACGAAGAATTCATCAAAACACCAAAATCTGAATAAAGACCCGCTGAAAATATTCAACATTTAACCCCAGAACATCCGTGTGGTGGAGCGCCACGTGTTGCTGCATCTACACCAGACCAAACCTGCTGGAGTGTGAACATCCATCCATTTAACCCCGAACTCAAGTCCTAACCCCTAACCTAAAAACAGCGTTCCTCCATATTTGGACCAGTTTGGTCTCCAAAAGGACCACTGGTCCAAAGAGTCTGTTCGTGGTCCATGAGGCACCTCAGGTGTTTTTAAGCACAAAGTTCATGACTGGAGAGGCTGGGAGTTCATATCCGGTCAGCATCCAGGACCAGTCAGTCCCTGACCCCCGCACATGAAAAGCCTTGCACTAACACCGGGGCTCCTCCACGCTCTCAGTCTCAAAAGTCGTCTCCGAACGTTCACGTCCAGATTCTTTGATCCGCCCAAAGTAAAAACATTTAATGTGCAGACGAAGAACGGGAACTGATGCGTCTGCGCAGGAATAAAAAGAGAATTTGTCGTTTGTGTTCGTAACGTGTTCAAGTGAGAACGAGGTTCGTGCTCAGACTCTAACACAAACAGCAGCTCCAGCTGTGGACCTCTGGCTCCGACCACCATCACAACTAAAGGTAGTCGTTCAGCGAGAAGCAGAACATCTCCTCCGTTTTAATTCAGAGCTGAAGACGAGTATGGAAAGAACAAACAATGCAAATAGAAGGGATTTAGTTAAATTATTAAAGGCGCTGTCAGTGGCTCGTTATAATCACCATGGCGACCATGTGTCTGTCACTCCCTGACAACAGTCTGAGTGAACACTGTCATTCAGAGTTTAAACTGTGAGCAGCAGAAGACGTCACACGTGCACATTTTTACGTTCGTTCAGCGTTAATGGACGAAAGACGTCCGAGCTGAAATATGAAGCTGGCCAATCAGGGCTCAGCTGTGTGCAATGCATTCTGGGAGATGTGGAGAACATATCTCAGCAGCATCAGAGACAAAAATGTGTTTTCATGTAGAGTTAATGTGCTGAGGCAGAGAGTTGGGTTTGTTAGCACACAGTACAGAAGTCAGTGATGTCATCAGTCGAACAGTTCATGGACACACGTGTAAAAATTGTTTAAGATGTCAGGACAGCTGTTCAGTCGTGTGAGGTCCAACTTCCTGTGACCCGTCTGAGCTCTGGATGTTTCTGCTGTAAAGAGCTGTGGAGTTCCACAGGGACGGGTTTTATCAACAAAACTCCATCAATTCTTCACATCCCTTAAAGATGGTTTACGTTGTGACGTACAGCAGCTGAAGGTCACAGCGCACAACTGAAGGTCACAGTGCACAACTGAAGGTCACAGCGCACAACTGAAGGTCACAGCGCATGTTCCTAACGGAGCGTCACGTTTTCATGTGACACAGAACGGTTCTAAAAGGTGCTTTCATGTGTCAGCAGCTTTTCCAGTAAAGTCTTTATTCTTGAATAAGATAAATGTCAACAAGAAGCTGAAGGTTAAATGTCCTGTCCGTCAGCTCATCAACACTTCATGTGTTTGAAGGACCAGCTTCAAAAGTATCTGAGCTGGAAAATTAAACATCTAGAGCAGGACTGTTCAACTAAACTGCTCAGGGGCCACAGTCTCTGGAAGCAGCAGCTCAGGGGCCGAACATCCAGCGGTTAAAGTCATTATGTAAATAAAACAAGTATTTCAATGATCTGTTACCTTTTAATTTTTTTATTTTATTGCTTTCAATCATAAATGCAATAAACAGAACCCAAACCCCCCCCCCCCCCCCCCCCAAGAATGGAAAAAAAACACCCCAAAACCCGAAGTGGGCCAGATTGAAGTCACTCCATTTCTGGCCCGCGGACCCCCAGTTGAATAGCCCTGATCTAGAGCTTGACCATGACTGCCCAACAGTTTGTACTGGGAGAACGTAACGGGTTGAATAAACGAGTGGAAGTGTGCACGTGTTTGAACACGCTCTCTGTAAATAATTAATTTAGGACTCGTACAGGCTGCAGCAGAGAACCAGGCTGAGCTTGGTCTGTAAAGAACAACCTGCTTCATCTGCAAACAAGAAGTCCCTTTATGAAACTTTCCCTGACTAAACAAAAACTGGAGGTCATAGCAGTGACACCCCGGGGTGGGAGGGGACAACATGACTGAAATATTTACCGTCCTGTCAAAAGACACATTGTCACCCTTCATCCATCCATCATCTTGTACCTGCTTCTTCCTTTTCAGGTCGCATGGGGTCACTGGTGCCCATAACCACCAGTCAGTGTGTGAGAGGTGGGGGACACCCTGGACAGGTCTCCAGTCCATCACAGGGACACACAGAGACAACCATCGACTCTCACCTGGGGACAGTTCAGTCACAAAGTGTGGATTTAAAAGAAACGAGCGTGACTCCACGTGAAGGAAACGTCTCCACACATTTGCGTGGGGTCTCAGTTTGCTCGTCTCAGCTGTTTGCAGGTAACTGGTTCGGAGAAATTAACCTGCACCAACAAACTTCATCACTGAAGTGTTCTTAAACACAACTCAGAGGTGTCCAAAGAGAGTTTCTGTAAACTCTACGACACTACAGCTGTTCAGTCCACGCTGCTGAGAAATGACTTCCAAACTGAGTTCTGGTGAATCAAACGTGGGGGATTTGCTTGAAGCGGGCACGATGTGGACAACAACAGAATAAAAACTGTGGTTCTGATACTTTTCAGCTTCTGAGCCACAAAATAAGCACGAGAAACTCGGAGTATCTCTGAGTTCAAACAGGCCGTAAGAAAACAAAAACAAACATTTAGAATACATTCACCCATTTATGACTTCTGCTTTGTCCATTTTATAACAAATATCTGAAATTAGCTTTTTGTGTTGGGATTTCTAAAAGACCCCCCCTCGCTTGCTGTTTCACGGCCCACAGTGGAGTCGAACCACAACTTTGGGAGCTGCTGGCTGAGAATACAGATTAACAAGCTGTGAACACAACAACAAGTCGTTTTCAGAGACGGGACACTCAGAATGCAGCCACGTGGCTCGCACGTCACAGAAACTCAGAATTAAGTGAAATAGCAAAATAAAAAACTACCCCCCCCCCACCACCACCACCAAAACAGTCAATCCAGTGGCATCTCACCTACAGCCACAATACAGCAGACACGAGGAGTCAGCTGAGTCATCAGCAGGTTTGAAAAAGACTAGGGATGCACGATATTATCGGCATGATATCATATCGGTCGATATTAGCGATAAAGTTAAATATCGGACATTCCATCAAAATTACTCACCGATATAAAAAGGTGGTGTTTTTGTACGACAACCCAGTGAAAAGGATCCTGCAGTGCCAGCACTACGTTATGACATCATGCACGCCATTGAGTTTAGATTTGTGAAAATTTACAAATTTGCACTGTTCGAGTGTTGTCATTGAGTTAGTGAGAGTAAATGTCATGAATAAATTCGACATGAAACATAATCCAAGTTGAAGTGTTGCATCATTTTCAACCCCCTTTTTGGCATCTGCATTTGGCAGCAGGCCAAACTGACAAAGACTATACAGAATAATGTAGTATTTGAACTCCATAGCAGAGAAAGCTATGTAGTCTCTGTAAGTAGGTCTGGGGGGAAAAATATCTGTGTTGGTATCGGTTATTAGCCAATAAGTTTTAACATATCGGCTAAACCTGTCACGATAAACAATAAATCAATTAATCGCATGATAAATTAAAATTATCAACCTCATTTTCATTTATTGGCTTTATCGTTTCTTCGTGTCTCTCTCTTTCTACTGAAGACACTGGATGATAAAAAGCTCAACTCCGGTGTTCTTCACTGACCCCTCCCTCTCTCTTCTCTGTAAAATCTGTTTTAATGATCCAAAATTGTGTTTTTGGATCATTAAAAGCAGCTAAGCTGAGAAGCTAAGCTACGAGCTAAGCTAACAGGCCGACCTCGGGAAAAAAACTCCGTCTTGTTGAAGCTTAAAAATTCGTGGTTGAAACTTGTGCCTTCGTGTAAAAAGTTGTTTTTCTCTGTAAAAAGAAGCTGAGAACTTGTTTACTGATTTTTTATTAAAAGCTTTGTGTGAAAAATGCTATGCTAAAGAGCTCAAACCACACCGAGCGTCTGCCATGACAAGAATCGAAGAGAGACAGCCCATGTCACGTCAAGGGGCCTCCCTCCCATTTTTCTTAAAGAGACACGCTGCTCGCTCCCTCACTATCCATCCTTCGGTTCAAACGGTCTTATACTGCCATCCAGTGGTCAAAAAGGTACTACATGCAAAAATTAATCAACATTTCTTCTTAAATTTGACAATAATTACTAATAATTGTCAAATTTCATCAATATTATAGTTTATCACAATAATTTCTGAGACGGTTAATCACCCAGCAAAATTTGTTATTGTGACAGGCCTAATTTTTTCATTCAACCTTTGTTTCTACAGGTTAATCCCATTGCGCCTTGGGGAGTCATTTACAAGAGACCTGATTTCTTTAACATAGTTTTTCTTTAATATCGGCATATCGGATATCAGGCAAAAATCCAATATCGTGCATCCCTAAAAAAGACGTTTCTTTACATTCTCTACCAAACGCAACACACAGTCCAGTCGAAGAACGGAGACGTGCACACAGCGACTGTGCTGTGTGGGCGGCACGTTGAAGCTGTTCTCCGACGTCAGCAGACATTTAAGGCTAGAATTCTTTTAATGCAGGTGGAAATGAAACGAGTACAACTGACCAGACCCTCAACAAGGAAGTGCAGCGGCGAGTTCTGCTCAAGCATTAAAAAAAGGGTCCAACGGGTGAGTGAGCGAGCCAATAGTTACAGGAGTAAGAGGAGAATGAAGAGGAAGATGTGAGGATGATGAGGTCAGAACAAAAACAAACAAGAAGTGACAAAAACGTGTGCAGTGAAAATGATCTGAACACATTTGGACCCGTTTGTCTGTTACAATGTGACTGAGCGCGCCCAACGTTTTCCACTGCCTCCACTGTAACTCACTAATCTTCCTCTGCATTCAAAATGTTCTGTCTTGGGGACAAAAAGCAGAACTTTAAGGTGGCATCTCACTGAGCTGCAACTCTTTGGAAAACAGCACGAGTTTTGAACGTGTACCAAAAATAGTGCGACAACGTTTACCTGGAGTCAGTCACAGAGCTGTCGTGGACTCGTCTTAAAGCCCAGAGCTGCGTTCTAACACCTGGAAACTAAATCTACAGGTCTTGATTTTTAAAAACCGTGCGGCCACACGCCTCGCTGCTCTTGTGGCCACTAACCCTCAACGTCCAGTGACACTGCAAAGAAAAAGCTTCAGATCAGTGGCTGAGCGTGGTGAGATACCGACCTGTTTCTGTCCAGCGCCGCCGGCCTTCAGACACGGTGCCTTCCTCTAGTGTTACAATTTAACCCTAAAAAAGCTACAGCTCAGTTTCAGCGCCATTAAAATCCATGTTTCTGCCTGTCCAGCCTTCTCTGATGTCCTGCTAGGACAAAAAGGGGGTCCAAATGGGGGTGCAGGTTACAAGATGGAGGAATGAGGAGAAAGTGCTGAAAGAACACAGGAGGTTAAAGGTCAGTTTCACTGGAGATGATGGAGGCGACAGTTGGAGGGGCGGAGGTCCTTTAACAGCAGCCTCCTCCGGACTGCCTGACAGGGGTGCTCTCAATTTTGATGTTGGGCTTGTCTCCACCAGCTGCAGCCCCCGGGCCCATGCGCTTCTTGATCTCCGCTGCCATGGTCATGAAGGCCTGCTCCACGTTGGTGGCGTTCTTGGCACTCGTCTCCAAGAAGGGGATGGCCAAAGAATCAGCAAACTCCTGCCGGCAAGAGGAGACGAGAATATAACATGCTGGGTGTCCACAGCTCTAACAGCCTCTTTATTTGGGCTCTCCAAGTCCCACAAGTGCTGTGTTAAGAAAATATTGTGTTGTTTTATACAAGCTGACACAAAGTGTCAGGATCTGATTGTAACAGTTGTGCCTTGGTTAAAAGGATGCGGCCGTTCCTGTGTCTGTTGCCAAAACACCTCATGAAGCTTGGACTGGACAAATCTTTGGACATGACACATGAAGACAGGTCTGTTTGAACCATTTCAGTAAAAACTAAAATAACTGCAAAGGTAAAACAAAACAACCTAAGAATCAACTAATCAAGATCAGAAATTGCATCCATTGATCGTTTCCTTTTCATCCATCTTCTACCACTTCTCTGTGGTCAGGTGGCAGAGGCAGCAGGTCCAGGAGAGAGACCAGACATCCCTCTCCCCAGTGACACTGTGCAGTATCTCCTGGGGGGAGCCCAAGGTGTTTCCAGGACAGAAAGGATATTACCGTATTTATCGCCCTATAAGTCACTTTTTTTTTTGCATAATTTGCACGTCCTGTGACGGCGAAGCGACTTATTTATGGATTTTTTCCATATTTATAAACCAATTTTTGACTGAGATATGACTGTGTTCATTCATTCTGACTGAAAATATTGATCACTACCATTTTCAGCCACTAAATGGCACTCGATTGTATGGCATGCTGTTGTGTCATGTAATGATCAAAGTGGTTATTAATGAGACAGTCAGCTTGCCACAGCCTGCCACCTTCATCCAGCTCGCCTGGAGCAAACGTCAAACCAGCTTCATTTCACTGCACTGCCCCGGTGAAATGCAGCCGATTTGACCATTAAAGTGAATTTATTAAGTAAAAGTTCAACTGAGACACACCTTTACTATAATGTTGAGCAAACAAATAATTGTTTTAGGTGCTTATCTTGTTATATTCTTGTTAAAGTCCTCCCGTGCACGCTCCCGCAGCCGCCATTGGGCAGCCAATTGATTTTTGGCACAACACCGGCCCATGTTTCTGGGTTGTCAGCGGTGACGCGTAACAGATGACATACGGCGAAGCGATGTATTTATGGATTTTTCCACTTTCTTAGACAAATATGGACTGATGAGACTTATAGGGTGGAGCGACGTGTACGGCGGAAAATATGGTAATTCTTCTAGTGACGTCTGGATCTGGCCCTGGTGTCTCCTTCCTGTGGGATGTGCCTGGAAGACCTCAGAAGGGAGGTACCCTAACCAGAAGCTCAAACCTCCTCAGCTAACTGCTTCTGATACAGAGGAGTGGTTCTACTTTGAGCTTCTCCCCCACGGATGACGGAGCTCCTCCCCCCATCTCTAAGGCTGAGTCCGGTCACCCTACAAAGGAAGTGTTTTTCTTTTTTGTCATCCTGACCCTGAGAGCCTGGTAGTGACACAGTATTGTCAGCGTCTTGCAGGTGAACAATAAAAAGGTGTTTTTATTACAGTCAGACCTCCAGTTCAATACTTTGATTAGAAGTCTGCCATACCTTGGCTGTTGTGTAATCCACAACTTTCTTTGTCGTTAGGTCACACTTGTTGCCCACCAGGAGCTTGTTGACATTTTCACTGGCGTAACGGTCGATCTCCTGAAGCCACTGTTTGACGTTGTTGTAAGACTCCTGACAACATGAAGGCAAAGACAGAAGAACTGAGTCAAATGAACGACAATATTAACAACAGCATTGATCAAACTGCTGCAACATGTCAGTGTGGTTCAGAGGCTGAGCAGTGAATCATCATCATCTGATACTTTGATAAATCAGACTGGCTCACCTGATCCGTCACATCATACACGACTATGATGCCATGGGCTCCACGGTAGTAGCTGGAGGTGATGGTACGAAACCTCTCCTGACCCGCAGTGTCCCACTGTGACGCACACACACACACACACACACACACGACAAAAGAAAATGAGAGGGAAATAAAAAGGGCATTAGAAGAATCCATTAAAAGGAAAGTATACTGCCACCTTTCATGTCCGAGCTTTAGACTAAAATCATCTTAGTAGAAAAACTAGAGAAATGTCCTTTCCTGTGAAAATGCAGTGTAACTGCTGATTACTTAAACTACAAGCATGTCTTGAAGACATCCAAACCTGGATGACCCTTAATTTTCTCCTGTTGAACACAGACAAGACTGAGGTTTTAGTTTTTAGACCTCAGCACCTTAGGAATAAATTTTTCAGTCTTTCTCCCTCCTTAGATGACATTAATCTGTCCTCCAGCTATAATGTTAAAAATCTTGGTGTTATTGTTGATCAGGACGTGTCTTTTATCCCCCACATTAAAAACGTTACTAGAACCGTCTTCTTCCACCTGTGTAATATCACTAAAATTAGAAACATCTTGTCTAAAAATGATGCAGAAAAACTGGTTCATGCATTTGTCACGTCTAGACTGGACTATTGCAATGGTTTATTATCTGGGTGTCCAAATACTTCTTTAAAACGTCTTCTGTTGATCCAAAATGCTGCTGCCAGAGTCTTAACTGGAGTTAGTGGGAGAGATCATATCTCTCCAGTTTTAGTTTCTCTCCATTGGCTCCCTGTCAAGTCCAGAACTGAATTCAAAATCTTACTTCTAACCTACAAAGCTCTCAACAACCAAGATCCATCTTATATTACAGATGTTGTTGTTCCATAGTTTACTAATTGAGCCCTTTGCTCTCAGACTGCAGGTTTACTTGTGGTTCCTAGAGTTTCCAAAAGCAGAATGGTAGGAAGATCTTTCAGTTATCAGGCTCCTCTCTTGTGGAACCAACTTCCAGTTTCTGTCCGTGAGGCGGACACATTGTCCAGTTGAAGACTTTCCTTTTTGTTAACTCCTATAGTTGGGGTCGGCTTGGGTTTCCTGAGCTGTCCCTTAGTTATGCTGCTATAGGCTTAGACTGCTGGAAGATGGGACACCGAGGAAGATTTAGTAATTTTTTTAACACGTAAATGAATCATTTTGGTACAGTCCAAGAAGAAAATTAAGTTAAGATATTTACTAACATATCCTAATGTACATAGAAAAGATGGCACCAACCAAAACATAAAGAATCAACAGCAGCAAGTTAACCACAGAAACCAAACACAGCAGAGCATTTTGCCAATACAAAAACTCATTTCTTAAATTTTGGTCTGGACCAACGTTTCAACAAGGTTCTGACTCCACTACTTGGTCATGTTCCTCTTTCATGTCCATTGGTGTCAGAAGTATTTTAATGTGGGGGACACACTGGTGGGGTGAGGGGTGTCGGGGGGTTCTCCCCCAGAAAACTTTGAATAAAGTAGATGCCATTTCCTGCATTCTGGTGTATTTTAACAGGTTGTTAAACATCTACGTTTACCTACACAAGTAAACATGATTCAATCATTATTTTCAATCAGGTCTCTCTTGTAAATGAGTCCTCGAGGCTCAATGGGATTAACTGTCTAAATAAAGGTTGGATGAAATTTTTGAGACATCAACAAAATAAAGTCCGGTTCTCTGGATGGATTTAAAAAAATAGTTGAAACTATTGATCATGCATCAGGATATTTTAGAGACACCTCGTTCAACTAGTCCACGTAGACATCATCCTGCTTTTAAACTCACTCTAATGGCCAAGATAATAATGTGACACAACTGATCACAAACCATGACCTTAGAGGTGCACTTGACTTTTATTTTGTTACTTTTGACTTAGTTTTATTTGTAACACAACATACAGTTGTGCTAAACAATGGTGACACTCATGCATGTTTAAAAATAAGAATATTAACTTTACTTTTAATTATTTTATTTAGGACGAAGTTCACTTTTTCTGGTTTTGCTGTGAATGTTCTGTAACCTGTGTGTGCTGCCAGTCCTGGCCAGGATTCTCTTGCTAAAGATTTTTAATCTCAATGGGATTTTCCTGGCGAAATAAAGGTTAAATTAAAAAAATTAAAAATATCCATTGACCAGGTGACATTTTAAAATCCACCAACAGTGAATTTAGGGAAACTTTTGACTGTTTTTTGATTTTATGTTCAAAAACATGAGCTGCATGATGCAGCCTGCACACTAAACTACACTGTGCCAAACAAAGGACAAAAACAACACATTTGAGTCAGTTTTGTCAACCTGCATGTAATTATTATTAAAACTAAATAATTTAAGGTTCCTTCCTTGGTGCCACGATGTCTACACTTCATAACTTTTATTCTCCTTTCCTTCACAGTCCTCTTGGATTAACATCCATCTCTCGTTGTTTAATTTCCACTATTCCTTCCCCATCTCTAATTTTAACTATTGTACTTTCCAAAAAACTTGTTACTTGGCTTCTTTCTCCTTAACATGATGTCTCCTTCAAGGTGTTCTCCATAACACCATCATTCAGCCTTTATTTAGACCGGTTAATCCCATTGAGCCTCGGGGACTCATTTACAAGAGAGACCTGAATTTAACAAAGAATGATGACAACAGTGGACAATCATAAAACAGGCCTAGACATACAAACTTAAGTTTCTCGCTCTCTCTCTTTTTTTTTTACAAATCAAAACAAAATAGCATCCAAAAGGACAATAAAGAGGAATAGTAGCAAAAAACCAGCTAGATTATAAGGCGGTTTAGGAAACTAAAAACAGGAACATGTCAGATGGACGTTTCAAATCTTGGGACAAAAATCTTGGCGTATGTGGCAGACAGCTACATTGTTCAAACGTTGACGTAGCGCTAAGCTAGCGGTGCACAACACAGACGCGCTAGCTAAGAGGCTACAGACGTAGCACTCTGCTTCTCGCACGCATCCTACCCCCCAGAAAACAAAAACTCTTCGGATCTACAGGATTCATGTAAATTAACATGTTTTAATTTGAAATCGGTGAATTTCGACAAGACAAAAAAAAAAAGCAACAAGTTTGCAGGTATGATGGTGGGGATCAGTCTCAGCTACAACCAAAGCATTTAGTGTCACACAGTGAGACAAACTGGTTCCGTGTCTTTTTATACAGTGCATGCAAACATCTGGTTTCAGCTGTATGAGACTCACAATCTGCAGTTTGATGGTCTTGCCGTCCAGCTCAATGGTACGAATCTTAAAATCCACTCCAATGGTGCTGATGTAGCTCTCTGTGTAGGTGTCATCCTGCAGACAGTCAATAAAACACACACAAAACAAAATCAACAGGAATAGAGACATTTTCACACTTAAAGTAATTAAAAATAATGAAAAATAACATGAGCTCTAACTACTTACAGCAAACCGTAGAAGGAGACAAGACTTTCCAACACCAGAGTCTCCAATAAGAAGCAGCTTGAACAAATAGTCACTGGAAAACAAACAAAACCTTTACACAACGGTGCTCATGACCCTTTATTTATTTCAAAGATGCTTGGATAAAGTTTTTGTCTTTTTACTTATAGCTTTTATAGTTTTCAGACACTGTTTACACCAACATGGCTTAGTGTGGATGGTCATGGATAGAATCGATGGGGCACTTGGAGGTTCTTAACCCGAACAAAACACCTTCAACTCTGGAGGCAGAGGCTACGAAGCCAGAGAGGACTGTCCTGTCACTGGAGCAGAGCTGGATGAAGTAGTTAACTTGTGGTGGCACGGCTACGTGGATAGATGCAACTGACCCTGAGATCCTCTGGACCCAGGATGTTGTTGGATTATCTTGTCTATACATGAGCTGCTACCCAAGTAAGAACCTCCTATTAGAACAAATGAGGTTTGTTATTCTGGTTTCTACTGGACTCTGGGACCATCACAACCGTAATATAGATTCAGACCCAGATAAATTTATAATCTTTCACTGAAGGATGAAAAACCCACAAAGTTGACTACAATACCTCGAAACTGACAAAAGGCTAATAATCCAATCTAAGCGGTTTGGTGTTCCTCTTTGCGGACACGTCCACCATTGAAAAACTGAGGACAAATTGAAGAGAATGAGAATGGTATGAACGGTAACCAAAGAGTCCAGAAGAACTTCCGAAGAGATCAGATGTGAACTCCGAGGTCAAAGGTCATCAGTGTCAGATCACACCATCAGTCTGAGTCAAAGTGGACTTATTGCAAGACAACAGAAGACGACACTAAAATCATAAAAAGACTGGAGTTAGTCAGAATGTATAAACTGAGAAGTAACAGCACGTCTAGAGAGTGTCCTTTGGACAGATGAGACAAAACTGGAGCTTTTGGACATCAAGTCTCATCAGCACCGTGCTCAAAGACCCAGAAATGGAACAAAGAAGAACCAACAATGTTCAGTCCATCTGGATGAACTTTGGTGTAAAGAAAAGAACCTGTTCCTACAGTGAACCATGAGGCTCGGTTCTGTTCTGGGCCCGCTTTGCTGCCGCTCACACCGGCTGTCTGGAGTCTGTGCCGGTGCAATGAAATGTCAAGACTATCAAGACATTCTGGAGCTAAATGTGCTGCTCAGTGTCAGAAAGCTTGATCTCAGTCCCAACAGGACATGGTCCTCCTCCAACAAGACATGGTCCTCCTCCAACAAGACATGGTCCTCCTCCAACAGGACATGGTCCTCCTCCAACAGGACAT